CCCCCCCCCTCTCTCTCTCTCCATCTCTCTCTCTCCCCCCTCCCTTTCTCTCTCTCTCTCTCTCCCTCAATATATGGAAGTGACAACGTAACATGTAGTGAAAAGGGAATTTGATGTGTTTATGAAACAAAGGGCAAATTAGGTTGTTTTCAAATTCAGTGGGATTTATTTTTCTCAAAGCAATGTTTATAATAATTTGACAAGACATGCCGGTCCTTGGCAACAATTGTCCAGCTAAGCCAAAAAGCAATAAGTTTTTCAGTGTATTAATACTATCCTGAGTTGGAAAAGAGAAATGAAAGCTCCCATCACTAATATACAAACAGAAATACTTTTAGATTTTTAAGATACAATTATGTATCTGAAGATTATTTAACAGGACAGAATAATTATGATCATTTTTAAAAGAATTAGAAATCTGGTGATTAGATAGAGAGAGACAGAGAGAGACAGATAGACAGACAGAGATAGTAATAAGTAGAGATGAGAGAGAGGGGATAACTAGACAGACGGATGGACGGACGGACGGACAGATGGAGGGAGGGAGGGAAGGAGGGATGGAGGGACGGGCAGGAAGGCAGGCAGACTCACTGAAGAACAATTATAACAAGAATCCTTTTTTGTAACTTTTGCACGTCTTCTTGACTTTCTGTGAGATATGCAGCCATGAGGGAAATATTCTAGGACAGTCTACAGCCTTTGAGGACAAATAATATACTTAACAATATGTCTCAAAATCCTTTGCAACATACAGGATACTTTGCAAGTCTGGTCAGTGGGAAAGACCTCAGTGTAAAAAAACTTGTCAAATACGTCTGTAACGAGTTTTTACATCCTAAATAACCCATGGACTCTAGAAAAAGGAATGTTGAAGGCACTGTTAGGATTCTAAAGGTAATACTATGTAGTCAGTTGACTTCAGTAGAGCAAGCTGAGCACAAAAAAAAAAAGCCATTGAATTTGTCCCTAGATCGTTACTAGTGTGGGACATACTAGTGGTAGATCTAGTGAAAGCACCAGAATTTTTCTCCTTTTTTTTCTCTTTTTCTTCCTCCTTCTTTTCTTTGTACATCTGAGTAAATTATGGCTAATTACATTTTTAAATCTGCATTGCTCTGTTGCCTTTGTCTTTCTGCTACTGCTTTGCTTGTAACCCTGTTGCGTCTCCTGCTGTGGTTGTGTCCTCCAGTGTCTGAAGAGAGTCCCACGTCCAGTGAATCTGGAATCCACCTCCCTCAAGAGCCTACATCTAAACCAGTCTTGCTACTCCCCCCTAAAAAATCTGCTGCTTTCTCTGGAGATCATGAGGACGCCCCAGTGAAGCAGCTCTCCCTCCTCAAACAACCCCCTGCCCTGCCTCCTAAGCCCATTACCAAGATTGCCAACCATTTAGCTGGTAAGTAAATGTTCCTGTTTGGTTTGTGCCCGCCCTCCCCTGAAAAACGCACTTTTCCTCACGTCTCTGGACAAAACTTATTTTTTTCATGACACGATCATGAAAGGCCTTTATGCTGTTTTTGCATCTCTCGTTAGAATACCTGTGTTACCAATTTGCAAATAGATGAGAACATGAGGCTATTAGAGCATAGAAGAAATTGTTTTCTAGCATTAAATTGTTAGCTGGAGTCTATTTCAATCAGATGTCAGTTTAATGTCTCTATGTTTCCTCCAGCTTCTTCCAAAAACTCATGGGTTTGTCTTAAGAAGCTGTAGTTCCCATTATAGCTCATGGGAAATAAATAATAAGAGAGCTTAAATCTCACTCATGCGTGAGGTTTTGTTTTGTTTTTTTTTGCTATGTAGTTGTTTCAACTACACTGATTGCTCTTTTTTAAAAAAAAACTAATATTAATAATAGTCTTTTAGATTTCATTCTTTTCTATTTATGTGTCAATAGGGGAACTCTTTGTTGCTTGCCTTTATTTGTTATCTCTTTTATCTCTTCCACCATTCCTCTACTCCGTTTCCAACTTGTTATAAAAGTTTATTTCACACTGTTGTCCTTCTGCACCTATTTCTGTAGTTTCTTTGCTTTCTAATTACTTGGTTGTGTGGAAAGAAAAATCTTCATCAGGGTCCAGTCCAAGCTGGGAATAAACAAAATGGAGACTGCTTTAGAAAGAAGGTTGTAGTTTATTGAATAGCAGAACCACAAGCCATGAGGCTCTGAAGCAACTGACCACATGTTGCTGGGAGTGATGGGTTTTTATACCTTCTTGGGCTTTTGTGTTTGGAGCTGTTCCTGTTTGAGGCTTTGTATTTCTAGTGTCATGTATTTTGACCTGAGTCTGAGTATGCCCTTTTGGTAGTCTAATGGTGGTGGGTTAATCCTATTATGTCCCAAAGGTCATATCCTGTTTCCCTGTGGCTGTGGCTGTGGCTGATGACTATGTCCTGTGTTGGATTTTTTGGGTGAGGGGTTGCTGGTTCTAATTCTATCACTCTGCTATTGTTAGCTATCAGTTTTGCTGCACAGGATTTCAAAATATCCTGTCTTGAATGGGCTTCTGCCTGGTGGTATTTGCTCATGAATGGGGCTGAATGGGATTATCAAATCTGCATTTCCAAAAGGTGGTTTCCTGAGTTTCTATTGGGGGCTATTAAGAAAAACTGGGCCTGCTTCCCTGCCTTTAAGATCCTTTGGGGAAATATAATATTCTGCCTTTTTAATATTCCCCAGAATATTTCTTTCTCTGAGGGAGGCTGACTTCCCACAGTTGGTTGGCCATTTGCACACAGAACAGGTCTTCTGCGCCCCAGATGTACTGGAAGAATGATTAGATTCCAGAGCTCTTTGGGTAAAATAATGTGACCTGATTAAATGGGTTTTAGATTCTTTAAAATCTGGCTTCAGTTGGGGGCTTGTAAACCTTTTAAACCTGGCTTCAAGTGAGGATTTCCATGTCACCTTTTCCATTTTGTCCCCTTGAGGTTTCTAGGCCAGTTAGAAATCAACACCAAACTTCTTTGCTCCCTTAATACTGTGGAAGAGCTGTGATGATTTTGTTCCAGCTACTATTTCAATGTGATCTGTGTGTGTGTGTGTGTGTGTGTGTGTGTGTGTGTGTGTGTGTGCGTGTGTGTGAATGTTGCAGAGTTCATCTTTGCATGGGTTCGTTCAATAAGAAGGACTTTTTGGCTTATTTCCTGATTCTGGAGTTTCAAGTCCTGCAAGCTTTACTTAACTTGATATGCTAGCTTTATGGCTATATCACTTTTTGATAGTAGAGACAAAATAAATTAGAAATAAAACTGACAAATGTTTTTCCAGTTTTGCTTTTCTTTTCAGCATAAGATTAGCAGGATCTGTGGAAGCGTTAAGTTTAAGAGCTGGGGGTTTTCTTTTTGTTGCTGCAAAACTCTCAGTAGCTCGGGATGGCAGTGATTTTCAGTTGTTCTTAGTATTTCAAGTCAACAGAAGTGGAGATAAATCATGATTTGCCACCAAACTGCTTCTGCGGTTTGGGGAATAAATATAGCAGGTTTGAGGGGTGAAATCATAGTTTATGAGATTCACCCTGTGTTGGAAAGGGAAAGTCTTTTTTCTAACCAGCTCTTTTGTTTGTGAAATGCAGTGATGTGCATGAGATACTGGAGGTTTTCAATTTGGGATTTTGGAAGAAGGGTCAAGGATTTTTACTATGTAGCTGTAATGTAAAGACACAAGGAACTATAGGCTTGATTATTATTGCTCACTGCTGCTGAAGGCAAGAGCGTGAAATGCTGATTCTAAAATAGCATTATTAGGAGAACTGAGAATTGTCCTTACTTTGCCTGTTCTGATCAATTAGAAATCACCCAAGGATCAGTTTGAAGCTTCCAATTCCTTGTCTTCCCACTCATACCCAAGTTTCCATCAGACACATGGCTTATTCTCCTTTGCTCAGTTAGGGGGGCCTTTTAAGTTGTGAACCATGAGATTAAAGAGAGCATAATGCAGAATTTACTGGTAGGGATAATTTAATTAGAACTTGAATGTATTCAAAATAAGCACAGCAATCTCTTTTAAACAAAAACTTGATAGGTGGTAACATCAAAACTTCACAATAGTGCTGAATTCATTACCATCTCTAGTGCAACATGTAGTTGTTTTTGCTGAAACTCAAATGAACAGAACTGAATTTCTGGATGAATTGTAATTCAAGAGATTCAGGACAGAGCCTCCCTTTGGAAGTCCTTTGTTCAGGGATGGCCACTTCAAAATCAGTAGCAGAAATTAATATATCATATGGGGACTGTAGAAATGTAGACAATAATTAGATGGTAGCAAGGGGGGGGGGGAATTCTGGATTTTTTTTTCCTGTCCAGATAATCACCGCCCTAATATAACTTTCTTCAGATTTAGTTTTATTAACAGGATGTCCTTAATAGCATGAAATGAATGAAAATTTATGTAATTCTAGTACAATATGGAAATCAGAGAGCATGTTATTGAATGTAGTTTTATGTAATATTGTGCCCAGTGTTGTAGTGTCCTTGGTGCTCTCTGAGCTTGGTTGTTTCCTTGCAGAGGTTTCATTACCAAACTAGGTAACATCATCAGTGGCAGTAGGGAGTGGAGTTTGCTTTCGTTTTATATTCAAATGGCTTGCCCTGTCAGTTTTGGTGGGAGTGGTCTTAGCGGTTTCTTGATTGTGCTGTTGTTTACTGTTAGCTTGTTTGGCAATTCCTTGATTGGGGTATTGTTTGCTTCTTGATTAATGATCTAATGTTAATCTTGGTGTTAATCTCTCCTCATCTGGGTGTTGATTGCTGGTGAGGAGGTGTTTTGGTCTTTTAGTTTCCTTTTTGGCTTTTTGATTGTTTCTTTTGAATAGTATGTAGATGTTGTTTATGTCTATGTGTGGTTGATGGCCAATTTGTCTGAGTCCCAGGCTTCCAGGAATTCTCTAGCATTTTTTTAGACTTGGCTTGGTCTAGGATGCTCACAGTTTCCCAGTTAAACCATGGTTAAGTTCTCCGTTGTGAAATTAAGGAAAATGTCCAGTTTCTTTCTCTAAGAGGTGATACTTTCAAAAAAATAGAGTTTTCTCTCTCGTTCCTTGCCCATTTACATTCAAGCAGCTTCACACCTATTTATGTTCTTGGATACAATATAAGGGACTTATTTCCCTGCAGGAAAAATAATAGTTAAGAAATTGCTTAAAGGTTAAATATTCCCTTTTTAACTTTCTGCCTGTTTTTGGCTCTTTCTACCTGTGGATGTTCTGTGGCGGAGATGGGCCATTAGTTTAATTTTATATATGACTGAATTTGAATATATAGGTTAATTTAGGTGACAAAATCAAAACTCTTATTTGCCAATAAATATGCTTATGATCAGGTTGTATGGATCAAAAAATCCCAAACATTTAAAAGATGGTGTTCATGCTAGAATTATGGATTATGTTGCCCGGCAGAGAGTCTGGAAATGAGCAGTCAATTCTTCTTTCCAAAATGAATATGTCACATTTGGATTGCATTTTAAGAGGTGCATACAATGAAACATACACAATGAAAATGAAAAACTATCTCAATTCTCAATAAATTTCCACCTTGAGGTGTGTATGTGCTTTTGTTTAGACCAGGGGTAGGCAACCTTGGCTCTTTTATGACTCGTGGACTTCAACTCCCAGAATTCCTGAGCCAGCTCAGGAATTCTGGGAGTTGAAGTCCACGAGTCATAAAAGAACCAAGGTTGCCTACCCCAGGTTTAGACAAAACATAACCAATAGCAAGTTGTGATGGACAGTTTGCTCTTGCTTTGTAGAAACTAATGTATGATTTAATTAAGGAGGGGCTTGCAGGAACTGTTGTTGGTTTCGTCTTTTTGAAAGTGAATACTTAATATAGAAAAATAATTTCTCTTTCATTTAATATCTGGTTGTTGCGACATGATTTCTGAAGAATTCAGATACTTTGCTTTATTTTAAATTTAGTTGAAAACCAGCTATGGTTAATCATATATTTGTCTTTTCCTTCCCGCCACATTAATGCATTTTGGTTAAAAACCAATGTGGAGGTATTTTTGAAGACGGCACACTGCCCTGGAGCTGTGATTGTGTACATTTGCACTGAAAGATGCTGAAATTTATGAGTTGGTACATAACTATATTTTCTTATACAGAGGCAGCCCAAGGTATTTTTATGCTTGAGGCAAAGACTAAAATAGTATTTTCCTTTCTGCATACAGAAACCAGTCCGTGTTTCAATTCCTTTAACATTTTTGATGAGACAGCCTTCTCCAAGATAGCAGAGCAGAGCAGATTAACCTCAAAGATTAGGCCACGCATATCTTCATAAATGTCTCTCTCTACCCTGATTGTATGGCAGTGTTCATTTAGCATGTTGTGTAGCAAAACCTTTATGTTAACAAATACAAAGATTTGTTTCAGCAATTGGGCCATCATTCAGTAAAAAAATAAACTGTCAGAACTAACAGAAACAAAGAAAACACCATTCATTCAAATTCAGATTCTTGCTTCATGTTTGAACAATAAAAATTACAGCCTATTTTAACGTTTTTGCCATACACTAAATAAATAAATACAGTGTATTAAAACTAAAGATAAAAAAATCAGTCTGCGTCTCTTCATCTTTGCGTCTCTTCAGATGTTCTTTATAGATGCATAGGTTTTAGAGGTTTCAAATGAATGACCATGTAGATTGCTCAAATGCCATGAATTCAATCTTCTAGTTAACATGAAGTCATGTTTCTAGATAACTTCTCAGCAAATTGTATGGATTTCACATAATAATAAAACACTTTCAAATGTGGTCATCTACTGCCACCATTGCAAGGACTAAACCGTGGGTGTTCTATCGACCATGTAAACCTTGAATAAATTTATCTGCTTTCTTTCTCTCTCCAATCCTAAGTATCTATTCTTATTTTCCAGCAAAACTGGCTCACATTTGGGTTACTGTGCCAATACATACAAAAATTCTTGATAAATATTTTATGATATTTAAAAAAAACAGATAAGAATACTATGCACATTCAGCCACCAATACAGTTAAAGGTTGCGTGAAGATTTGGATCCAACATTGCAATGTATCACACTGGCTCTGCAAACATAGTTTGCAGAAATCTTCACAAGACAACATTGGCTTGCTTACAGGTTGATGTGGACTTTAAGAATATGAGCTGCATCTCCTGTCATTTTTAGAGCTTGATGACTTACAGGCACAATCTTCCATTCATAAATATTTTTATGCCTGGAACATTGGGCTTTAGTTTTATTTTAAAATTTATAGTATACAGTAATTGCGGAGGCTCCTGGTACTGTAGTGATACCAATGGTGAAATTTCAGTATGATGTTTACATTGATGATCTTTGCAACAATGGAGAACCATTGTGCTTGAAAATATTGTAGCCCCATAGACCAAAGATATGCAACTTCTGGAGGACTGACCCACTGAGTGCTTCAGTTGCATAGCTGAGGCTTCACCCCAACAATGGATAGGGGCACGGTAAAACAAATGGGCCACAATAAAAAAAATAATGTAAATAGAAATAGAACTGATATCTAATAAAGTATCTAAATATGAGTAGCCCTCATGCATTTAAATATTTTTGCTTTCTGCCTGTTACAAATTGCAATTCAATGGCAAATTTTGGAGAATTTCTAGGTGTTTCAGTCAAGTCTTTCAAAACTGTATGCGCATTTGATTGCAGTATAGGTAGTCCTCGACTTACAACAGTTCATTTAGTGGCTATTCAAGGCTACAGTGGCACTGAAAAAAGTGACTTATGACCATTTTTCACACTTACGACCATCGTAGCATCCCCGGGCTCACATGATCAAAATTCAGATGCTTGGCAACCGATTCATATTTATGACAGTTGTAGTGATCCCCTTTTGCGCCTTTCTGACAAGCAAAGTCAATGGGGAAGCCAGATTCACTTAACAACCGTGTTACTAACTTAACCACTGCAGGGATTCACTTAACAAGTCTGGCAAGAAAGGTTGTAAAATGGGGGGGGGGGGGAATTCACTTAGCAAACGTCACGTTTAGCAACAGAAATTTTGGGCTCAGTCATGGTCGTAAGTCAAGGCCTACCTGTACACAGATTGAACCAGGAAGGATGACATGATATATATAGTAATCTGTCATATCTACCTGAACTGCATCAGACGCACAAGAGAAAAAAAATGCTTTCCCTGTTAAATGAGTCAATGGCTGTGGAGAAAATCAAAGTGCCTTTTTTCCGCCTTTGTTCATAACTGAGATTCTCAAACTTTTTTTTATTCTTTTTTTAAGATCCCGGTGCTCCGATGAAGCTGCCTTGTATGCCAGTCAAACTATCACCTCCGCTACCTCCAAAGAAAGTCATGATTTGCATGCCTTTAGGGGGACCCGATTTCTCCCTTGCCTCCTATTCCACACAGAAGAATTCCCAGCAACCATTGACTTCGCATCATCACACAGTGCTACCATCACAGTTAGCAGCACACCAGCATCAGTACGGCAGCCACAGCCCACATATGCCTTCTGGATCCAGCACGTTACCCATGCACCCTTCAGGATGTCGCATGATCGAGGAGTTGAATAAAACACTGTCCATGACCATGCAGCGGCTAGAAAGGTAATTTGAGCATCCCAACTCTGTGCAGAGTGAGGAGAAAAGCTGGGTAAAAGAAACAACTTGACTAACAAACCCTAATCTCTTGTGAGTAGGCTGGTTTTCCAGAGTCTGGTTTGTCACCTTAGAAAACTAGATGGGTTTCTGATTAAGTCCAACAAGGCTCTTCTGATGAGCCCAAATTGTTTACTCACAGAAGGGCTGGGTTGTTGGTTTTTTTTCAAAATTTCCAGTTTTGGCCATGCCTTCTTTCTGGTGATGTAACCTTTAGTGCAGATAAGTCTTCACACTGGTAGCAAACAGCCCTGGTGGTGCAGTGGTAAGAATGCAATTTGTTGTTGTGTTTAATTGCAAAGTCGTGTCCGACCCATTGCGACCCCATGGACAAGGTTCCTCCAGGCCTTCCTGTCCTCTACCATCTTTTGGAGTCCATTTAAGTTCACGCCTACTGCTTCAGTGACTCCATCCAGCCACCTCATTCTCTGTCGTCCCCTTCTTCTATTGCCCTCAATCTTTCCCAGCATTAGGCCCTTCTCCAGTGAGTCCTTCAGGCTAATTCTGTCAAATGCCAGCAGTTCGATTCTCAAGACTGACTCAGCCTTCCATCCTTCCGAGGTGGGTAAAACGAGGGCCCATATTGTTGGGGGCAATGTGCTGACTCTGTAAACCGCTTAGAGAGGGCTGTAAAGCAATATGAAGCAGTATATAAGTTTAAGTGCTATTGCTATCCATAATGGAAAGATGCAGCATCTGAGCATTGGAATCCAGATAGAGCCTTGAATCTCTTAATCTGTACTGACAATGTTGGGTAGATAGTTCAATGATCTGAGTTGATAGAAAGCATCATCTCCCATTAGAGGTAGATATCAAGAAATGAGATCCATCGGGAACTATAGAAACAGAGCTCTTTGAGCCTAGGCAATAGCTATTTTTAATATAGAAGTACATTTAATTTATATATCAAAATTTTAAGATTATACTCTGCTACATTAATTGTCTCAGTGATGATAATACAGTTACCCCCATCATTTATTTTTCCTAGGTAACTATTCACCGAGGGTTTGTGTTTGTTATGTTAGAGTAAAAGTGTTGAACATCGTAGACTATGTAAAAATTAGGCAGATTTCTATTATCTTTGAAATAGTAGTGATTTTTTTTAGAGGTTAGAGTAATTTGGAGAGCAATTTCTCTAACACCCCTTTGAAAATTGTTTGATACTAATACTGTATTTTTACAGACACTGTTACGAATTGGAAATACTTCTGTTTCCCATTTCATTTGTTGGTTTCATGTTTTTGAAAACTGTGTTGCTATCTATTCTGATGGGTCAGATGTGATTAAGGAGATGAAGAAAATTACTACAATTACCCTTGCTGCCTTTATTTTGTATACCAATCGTTATGTGTTTGTGGGTGGAATATCATAATAATTATTATCATTATTCAGATTAGGCAGGATCAGGCAATTTGTAATATAAGGTTTGCCTTTTTCATAAAAAGCAAATAATTATTAGATAGAGGGTTGCACCATGCAGTGTGTTTATAGCAAAGAGTCAGTTCAAATTCCTGACTTGTCATGCAAAGACAATAGTTGCTGCCAGGTGCATTATTAAGCATCCTTATACAATTATATAATCCCTATATAATGGCATAACTAATCATCCCTATCATATATTGGTTGTATCCCTATTATATATCAGCTTTATATGTCACCCCTATGATATATCATTTATATAATAACAAATCATCCCTATGTAATTATATAATCCCTATATAATGAATCTGCTCTGATTATTTCCTGTTGCCAATTGCAGTCTTACTAAATGCTCTGAATATAGACCAGCTGTTCCCAACTTCTTTCTTTGTGCAATTGTGGTTTTCAGCCCATTTTATGTATCAGAAGGAATTTAAAAAGCAGATACATTTTGAACATCTTACCCTCTCTTCCATATCTATTATATTCATCTCAATAATTTATCTGCAGCCGTCTTCCCAGTGGGGAGAATTATGCTTGCAATCTTACGGACCATGAGTTGTCTGGTAGCACAAATTAGGAACTACAATGGCAAAAAAAAAATGATTAGTGTTTTGGGATTTTTTTTTTCCTTATGAGATGGCATTCTTTAGCAACACTTAATGTTGTAGTGAAGACCAAACATTCTAAAGTGAAAGGCCTGTGGGGCTGATGTGACAGTTCATTCTTTTCCAAGTGTATGAATCTTGGGAAACATCAGATTTGCAGGTGTGGGTTTAATGGGTCCATTTAAAACTTCATGTTGGGGTTCTGACTTGCCCAGCTCTTCTTAATAATCATAAATTGTTTGTGAGATTAGAATTGTATTTCATTACACTTGTGGACCCTTGGCTTACAAAAGACATTAATTAGACAAGATTCAGTCAGATGGCCACTCTCTGAAAGGACGAGAGCAGAGAATACAATGTGCAGTAATTAATGGTCTCCATGAACAAAATATACCAAAGAACAAGGAGCGCTGTCCCGTACTTTCTGAGTTCCAGGAATCAAAGGGAAACCTACTTATCCTTGCAATTGTGCACAATGAAATGAGAAAATTTAATACACTCTCCCTCCCTCTTCCCCACACAACACCATCTACATCAAAAACGCTATTTGAATTTTCAAGAGAAACTGGAGGCTGTTCAAGCTTCACCCTGTTATTTACATAACAAAAAAAGCGTTATTGTATTCATACAGCAATTTACTTTGCCCCTAATCTGATCCTAACCCTACAACTGTAAAGGAAAAGAAGAAGAGTGCAGGTTCAAAGATAATTCTGTCAGTCGGATTCAGATATTATGTATCTCGTTGTTTGCATAAAGATAATTACTTTGAAAACGTGTGCTGTGTTGTAGAATAGTTCTTCTATGCATAATTTCAGCAATCCTTATAACAACCCTGTTGTGGGATTTTTTTTTTTTCTTGCTTGGCTGATAAGAAACGGGGACTGCCAGTCAGTCTCTGGATACCAAGAAGTAATTCCCACTGAATTTGATGAGGCTTTTAAAGGAATTGCAGTCTTGGATGGATAAAAATAGTTTACCTAAAACCTTCCTGGTAGCAGAAGGGAGAGAGATGATGGCCTCCTTAAGAGCTCAATCTTTTATTTGACCATTAAGTCAGTACTGAGCTTGGTTGTAGCAGGTAGACCAGGGGTAGGCAAACCTGGTTGAGGGCCAATAGACAAACAGGTCAGATTTGGAACTGCTTGGATGAGAGACCATAAGGCACTGTTTGTGAACTTTGGCAACTTTAAGACATCTGGACTTCAACTCCCAGAATTCCCTAGCCAATATTAAGCATCAAGCTAAAGATAGAAATCCTCTTTATATTACAAAGTAATTCAATGCTTTACCTTTGCAGGACTAAACAATTCCAGGAGAGCATTTGAAGTCTCCGTTGATGAACTTGCTCTGTAATTGGAAGATGTCATTTTCAGGCCCCAGAATGGGACAACTGACTTGGCCAATTCACTATCGTCATTTCACTACAGCCAACTCACCATGCCCAACTTGCTGCAGGACAACTCGCTGTGGCGAACTCACTGGAATAATAATTCAATAATTCCATTTAATTATTTAAAGTCATTTTTTAAAATTAGTTTAATTTTTGTCATTCACATTTCATTTTGCCCCTCCTTTTGCATTCTTTCTTTAATGATTCTATTCCACCATTTCTTAGAAATTACTGTAACTCTTGTCCCATGATGAGTTGGCCATGGCAAGTTGACTATGGGGAGTTAATCACAGTGAGTTGCCTGAGTTCTTTCAGGCCCTTGACTCCATACCCCTCCACTCTTCTCCTTAGCCTCCAAGAATGGGACCTGCTTGTACCTGTTTGTAGATATAACACCTACAAATCCTTTCAGATTTAAGATTTAACCTTTCAAATAAAGTTTCTATTTGGTTTGGGTTAATTTGGTAGGGATTATATTTTGCCTTATTTTTCTTTAGCATAAAACAAGGCTCTTTGTTCAAGGTTAGGTTAAATCCAACGTTCTCCTTTAATTCTGAGGAATGTTGCTTGGTTAATAATTCATAAATTGGGAATTCAGACAGATGCTGAACGATTGGGAAGTGGTACAAAAGTCTATTTCTCATAAACCCAAAGCAGGTTATCAAAATGATAGGCCAATTATCCAGTTCCATCACTGTCGGAATGGTATCTGTTAACTTCATCCTTGAGAGATTAAGCAGCTCATGGCGTATTTTTTGTCTGAAAAAGCAGTTGCCCTTTTCATAATGCATGCAGACCAAGCATCTGCAAAACCAACATGCCTTGATGCATTTTAAATTTCTTTTGTTTTGTTTTGGCAAACATGCTTGTCTCAGAGGAGATTAATGTAGATTTTCAAAAGAGTTTATTTTAAGAAGTCAGTTATGCTATATAGCATATCTTACAACTGTCTTGGACAGCACTGCCATTTACAGTCTTGCTGATCTAAAAGGAAAAATTAATCGCAAAAGAGTTTTCTTGAAACCATACATGTCCTCATCAGTGTCAACCATATAAAGATATATTAAGATATATGCCATAGTTGTTAAGTGAATTTGGCTTCCCCATTGACAACAACAACAACAACAACAACAACAATAACAACAACAACAACAACAACAACAACAACCATTTCAGACAAATGGCTGTCCAGTCTCTTCTTAAAAACTTTCAGTGTTGGAGAATTCACCGCTTCTGGAGGCAGGTTGTTCCACTGATTAATTGTTCTAACTATCAGGAACTCCTGCTTAGTTCTAGGTTGCTTCTCTCTTGATTAGTTTCCATCTGTTGTTTCTTGTCCTGCCTTCAGGTGCTTTGGAGTATAGCTTGACTCCCTCTTCTTTGTGGCAGCCCCTGAGATATTGGAACAGTGCTATCATGTCCTCCCTCTTCCTTCTCTTCATTAAACTGGACATACCCAATTCCAGCAATTGTTCCTTATGTGTTTTAGCCTCCAATCCCCTAATCATCTCTGTTGCTCTTCTCTGAACTCTTTCTACAGTCTCAACATCTTTTTTACATCGCGGTGACCAAAACTGGATGCAGTATTCCAAGTGTGGCCTTACCAAGGCATTGTAAAGTGGTATTAACACGTCATGTGATCTTGATTCTATCCTCTGTTACTTACTTCTTTACTTAGGAAAGTAATATAATTTTTTAAAAAACAGATGTAGGAGATACAAGCCAGGAATTTGGCAAACTGCCTGCAAACTGCATAGAATAAGGCATTAACATCAAAGCTCAACTTTTTACTGTTACATAATAGTTTAAAGTAGCCATTTCTATAACAACAAACCTATCTAATCGGTAAAAGTTTCATTTTTTTTCCCACCTCAAGCACAAAGTCTAGAATCAGTTTCCAAGCCGAAATGAAAGTATTTGTATTTTTTTTCTTTGATCGAGATATAATCATTTTTGAACATCATGATGATTCAGTTTTTAAGCAATGAATTCAACCTTGACTATGAAAAGCTAATTCAAAGGCTGAAAGTTGACAAATCGAAGCCAACTTTTACCCTGTTAATACAAATGTTCTTATGGGACTTCATCATCACCTTTGCTGCGAGTGACCAAGTTCAATATATCCAAAGTTTTCTCTTACAGTTAGTTGCCTCTGTTTTAACCTGAAAGATGCTGACATAGCATTTCATTCTGAAGATCTAATATTTCTCTTCGGTATTATTTCTTGACTCTAAAGCTCCAGTTTACATGGCAGTGACAGCATCCCAAAAAGTGGACCTGGAGGCTTTTCAGATATGAGACAAGTGCCAACCGTTGTGATCGAATGTGATGACAATAAAGAAAATGTGCCTCATGAATCTGACTTTGGCGATTCTTCATGCCTCTATACAAGAGAAGACGAGGATGAGGAGGAAGAGGAAGATGATGACAGCTCATTATTTTCAAGTAAGTAGAGGTCATTATTTGCAAGCCACATTACACATTTGTTCTTTTCGTGCAGTGCTAGAGGAAGCAGTGCTGGTTCTTGCAACTGCTTGAAAATGTTGCCTGTTTCTGGGGTGAAACAGTTCTGCACGGGAAATAAAATATATGAGAAAACCTTAGTTTAAGAATGTGAGAATTCTGGGAATTAACAGGTCCAGATATAAAAGTGAAAGTGATAGATCAGGAGATGTATAACTTTTGCTTGATCTCCCCTAGGAGAGCCTCAACACAATCTCTTTGAGTCCATTCATAACCCCTAAAGCAGGGGTCTTCAAACTTGGCCCTTTGATGACTTGTGGACTTCAACTCAGCCAAGCATGCCTGGTTGAGGAATTCTGGGAGTTGAAGTCCACAAGTCATCAAAGGGCCAAGTTTGAAGACCCCTGCCCTAAAGTGATTGTTGCAATTGAACTGAAGGAAAATATACTAATATTTAAAGTGGCCAATGGTTCAAAAGATCACCAAATCTTGTGAGATTCTTCCCTTTAGCACCAGAGAAAAACTTACAAGATTTCAGGTAACATTGGAGCGCATTGGAATTGGACAAAATCTGAAAAGGACAAAATCTGGAAAGGATTGATGACACATAATACAACTGCTTATATCTTTGCATATTCATATCTGGATCTGAAAACCTTTGAAAAGACATTCAACTTCTTGCTTCTGCCAGACCAAATCTTAGCAGGAACAATGCTCAAATATTGCTTGAAAAGATAAATTACTTATTTTTTCCAAGTCTGTTATATGGAACCATAGGGTTCTTCTTCCTGTTCTCCGGACCAGACTGTTCCCTTACTGTTCTCCTGACAAGACTGTTCTCCTGACAAGACCCACTGATCACATTCCAAAACATTGGGCATGTTGCTTTTCAGTCTGAGATTTCAGGAAAGATAAGGTAAGGTAAGGTAAGGTAGGGTAGGGTAGGATAGGATAGGATAGGATAGGATAGGATAGGATAGGATAGGATAGGATAGGATAGATAAGGTGAGGTGAGGTGAGGTGAGGAGAGGAGAGGAGAGGAGAGGAGAGGCGAGACGAGACGAGACGAGACGAGACAAGTTAAGATAAGATTAAGATAAGATAAGATAAGATAAGATAAGATAAGATAAGATAAGATAAGATGATAAGATTTATTGTCATTTTTTTTACTGTGGGCACAACGGCACACATCAAAAATGAAATTTAGTTGCCCACTCTCAAAATGAACACATACATGACACACACCTAACATACTATATACAACGTATATATACTGGGTTTACACTGCAGTGGAATTGGAGGATACAATCCAATCCTTTCTGTCTCCATTGTCACCTTGCTTCCTTGTTTCCCTAGCTGCAAATACAGGATGCAGCAACAAAATCTTATCCCATTGCCACAAAACATTTTAAGAAAAATTTAAAAATCTGGTGTTGAACAATATCCAATGAAGCAGCAATTGCTCAGGTTTCATGTCATGGAAATACGGTCCCTTGCAGAAGCAAGGAAAAATATCTAGGGTTGGACTTGTTAATAATGTTCTTGACAAATGTGATCAGATTGGCAACAGGTAAGATTTAATACAGGAAGAAACGGGTGCTACCGCTTCTTCTTCGTGTCTATAGGTTGAGGACTACCCATTTTTATTTATCGTTGTTTGTTGTTTATTTATTCAATTTCTACACCGCCCGAGTTACCGAAATGAATCTGGGCAGCATAATAAAAAAATACAAACGCATAAATAAAAGGAGAGGTGATTAAAAGAGAGTTAAGATAAAAGTTAAAATGTACAAGGTAAAAGTGGAATTCCGTTAAAAATTCCAAAGGCTAAAAAATTATTGCTATTATTACATATTGTGCTTTTCTGCCATTGCAGCATTCTTTCATTTTGCAGGGAAGGGAGTAGCACTTCCTCGAACTTAGGATCCTGAGGCAGAGAAGGGAGCATTAACCCCATTTTCCTTTCCCACAATCCTTCATCCCAATTATGGTTGTTTTGCTTTCAGTGGCCTGTCAGGTCCGCTGCTCTTTCCTGCCCTCAAGATGGCAACAGTAAAAAGTATTGGGCCTGACCAAGAGTTGCTTTGCTAGCTGAGATTGGGACCTTGAAGCCACAACTTTTGTCTCCCATACAAAATAATCCACTTTGCCTTCATGGAGGGTTGAGATAACATGATATTTAGCACTGAGGGCATTCACCTTCCTAAAAGAGCACACCAAATGAAAGGAGACGCTTTTGAAATGGGCTCTCTCATTCGATATTCAAAGTTTCTCCAAAGGCAGGGGTAGGCAACCTTGGCTCTTTTATGACTCGTGGACTTCAACTCCCAGAATTCTGGGAGTTGAAGTGGACTCGTGGACTCGTGGACTTCAACTCCCATGCTGGCTCAGGAATTCTGGGAGTTGAAGTCCATGAGTCATAAAAGAGCCAAGGTTGCCTACCCCTGCCCAAGGGTAACAGAGGTCTTAAAAGCAGATTAATTTTATTTTATTTAAAAGAAAGAAAGAAAAGAAAAGAAAATGGCTGTCCTGCATCGGTTAAACTGAAGGTGATTCTTTCTCCTCAAGGTTCCCTGGCAATGAAAGTTTGCAGGAAAGACTCTTTAGCTATCAAGTTGAGCAACAGGCCATCCAAGCGTGAACTGGAGGAGAAGAACATCCTCCCCGTGCAGACCGACGAGGAGCGGCTGGAGCTCAGGCAGCAGATCGGCACCAAACTGACAAGGTAGGAAGAATTGTCCCCCTTCCCAGCAACAACAACCCTGAAACAGAGTATGGCCAATCCAGGTTATGAATACAGGTAGTCCTCAACTTTCAACCGTCCGTTTAGTGACCGTTCAAGGTTACAACAGCACTGAAAAAAAGCGACTTGTGACCGGTTTTCACACTTACGACCCTTGAAGCATCCCTCACGGTCAGGTGAGCAAAATTCAGACCCTTGGCAGCTTTATTACATTTATGACGGTTGCAGGGTCCTGGGTTCGTATGATGACCTTTTGTGCCCGTCTGACAAGCAGAGTCAGTGAGGAAGCCGTATTCCCTTAACAACTTGATTGCTAACTTAACCACTGCAGTGATACACTTAACAACTGTGGCAAGAAAGGTCGCAATATGAGGCGAAATTCACTTAACAAATGTCTCACTTAACAACAGAAATGTTGGGCTCGATTGTAGTCGTAATTCTAAGACTACCTGTAATCAAAACATTCAGAAATTGGAGAAAGAAATGCAGTCCTCAAGCAGACATAAATTAAAAAGGCATTTCCATAATATCCTACATGCATGCAGGCAGTCCTCGACTTATAGCCATTCATTTAGGGACCATCCGAAGTTACAATGGAACTGAAAAAAGTTACTTATGACCACGTTTCACACTTACGACCGTTGCAGCCTACCTGTGGTTAGGTGAGCAAAATTCACCTAAATTCAGACCCTTGGCAGCTTTCTCATATTTATGACCGTTGCAGTGTCCTGGGATCGTGGGATGACCTTTTACGACCTTCTGGCAAGCAAAATCAATGAGGAAGCCAGATTCACTTGACAAACCATGTTACTAACTTAACCATTGCGGTGATTCATTTAACAACTATGGCAAGAAAAGTTGTAAAATGGGGCAAAAGTCACTCAACAAATGTCTCACTTAGCAATGGAAATTTGGGGCTCAATTGAAGTCGTATGTCGAGGTGTACAACTACAATTTTGTATAGCTAACAAGCCACTTTGTACTTTCAGGCTGCCGTGACCACAGAATTGAACTTTCCACTTTTCCAGATGCCAGGAAATAAAAAAAACAAAGATTCTCCCAATTGAACCTATCAAGGGGCTTAGAAATAAGGGATTTGTTAGGTCAGTTTGCTAAACTGAGTACAATAACAGGACAAGACAATGATGCATACATGATTGGTTCAGATTCCTCCACTAGGCAAGGCAGAAATGATCTTGAATTGGGATATTGCTGTATCTTGCTTCCATTTTCATAGATGACGGGGGTTAAACATGGCTCAGGAATTCTGGGAGTTGAAGTCCACGAGTCATAAAAGAGTCAAGATTGCCTACCCCTGATCTAGCGTGATAGGAATGAGATGCTATCTAGCTGGGGTGAATAGTTAACCAGACAAACCCAACACCACTGGAGAGGGAGGCGGACCTCTGATTTTTTTTTATTTTTATTTTTGGAGATAAGTATCAAAATGTTTTGTTTCAGCTCAGCTTCAACACTGGCTCTCCTGCTCCCCAATGAGATAAAGCATTAGGCAAATAAACTCTAGCATATGCGATATATGCTTCAGTTCTATTCCTTTTTTTCTTCCAGGATGATGAGAAGCCCTCTAGCAGAATCAAGGAAGTTAAAGAGTTATCTTTAGAAATCAGTTTTGGCCAGGATTTAAGGCAGATAAAATCTCATTTGGGTCTCTAAGAGGGACAGCCTGTCTTCCAGATTTAGAAGGAAATCTGAAGTGCATTCAAAGACTCAGAGCAACTCTCTTAGAACAGAGGTCTTCAAACTTGGCCCTTTTATGACTTGTGGACTTCAACTCCCAGAATTCCTCAGCCAGGCACGCTGGCTGAGGAATTCTGGGAGTTGAAGTCCACAAGTCATAAAAGGGCCAAGTTTGAAGACCCCTGTCTTAGAAATTTAACTAGTGCAGCTTTCAGAAGACTTGGATCTTTATATTGCAAATCTGTGAGTCATAGTGGAGGAGACTACTCACCTTGACTATGAGGATGTTTTACAAGCAGGCGCAAAATTGTCCCCCACCACTACTGCCAAATACAGAATTACATTACCTATATTACAGACCCACCAGAAGTAGCAGAAGATTGAACAATGACCACCACCACCCCAGATCATTAAAAGCCTTAATTTGTTCTACAGGTAGTCCTTGACCTATGACTGGTCATTTAGTGACTATTAGAGCATGGTGGCGCAGTGGTTAGAATGCAGTACTGCAGGGTAACTCACTGCTCACTTCAGGAGTTCGATCCTGACTAGCTCAAGGTTGACTCAGCCTTCCATCCTTCCAAGGTCGGTAAAATGAGGACCCAGTTCATTGGGGGCAATATGCTGACTCTGTAAACCTCTTAGAGAGGGCTGTAAAGCACTGTGAAGCAGTATATAAGTCTAAGTGCTATTGCTATTGCTATTGCTATTTGTATCCCCTCAAAAAATATTTATGATCCAATAATGACGTTCTCACAAATCCCCTCCCATGCACTAACGACACTGCATTTATGGACCTTTCCAGCGTCCCCTCATCACATAACTGAAAGTTATGATATTTTTGGCAAAAATGGGTATTTATTTCTGGGTTTTGGCAAAAACACGCCATAGCAAACAATGAGTTCATTAAATGACCACCGCATTCGTTTAAATATCATGGGTTCATAGTGATTCATTTAACAACCACCACAAAATAGTTATAAAATAGAGATGGTCCCTTGATGATCCATTTATGACCATCACAACTTAATACCATAATGGGCAGGCTCCATTACAGTCATAAGTCAAAGATTATTTGTATATGGGTATTTATTTAGTTACAACTCTTAAGTGTTTTAGAGAAGCTGCTCTTTTGTTTTGCTTCACTAATAATAAATTAGGAAGATGCCCAGAGAAAGCTTTTTTTCAGCCTCACATTTTAGAATAAAGAGTCCATTATTAAAGCTGACACAAATAAAGTACATGTTAAGAAAATGTGTATATTTTACATCATCCCTAATGTACATATTTTGCAAGCGGTTTTTCCCTAATGGATTTTATACATTATTAATATGAGTACATTGAAACAAAAATCAATTATGAGTGAATGTAAAGGTCAGTTACTGAATAAAAAATTTTGTATTAAAATGTAGACTGATTAAATTTCTCTCACTTCCCTCGTAGGTCAAATCCAGCCAAAGAAAAAAACTAATTCACCCTGTTTAATTATTTCATTTAATTCTTAGGATTGTGTCCAATAAAGCATGCAAAGAACTTTTGTCGTTCTCTTTGAGAGTTAATCTTTAAAACTTAGAAGGAAATGCTCATGTTGTATTTCCAGTTTCGCTTTCAAGCCTTTCAGTTGTCACATCACTTCCTTATTTTACCTTTGGCTGTGGGATTTAAAACAACAACAACGTGCTCAGACATTAAAAGCATACATAACAATCCTGCTACAAGATTCTCAGCTGACATAAGGCAGAGGTCCCCAACCTTTTGGGCACCAGGGACCAGTTACTGGAAATTGCCTGCCCAAAGTGGGAGGGGTTTTTTTGTTTTGTTTTTTCATATCTACCTCCTCCTTCTTTTGCATTCTTATTCCTCAAAGTTTACACTTCTTGCTTCAAGAGAATCTCAGACTCTTCTTGAATATTTTGCAATCACTCGTTCAAAGGGTTTTTTTTATAGAGACTTAGAGTTGGCATACTAAGCTATCTGGGCCAGGGAAAGAAATCAGAAGATAAACACTCACTAGATTTCTTAGCAGAATCAAGAAAAAACTTAAAAATTATAGCCTTCTGAGAAAGTTGAAATGCGAAGTGTTATTGCAGTTGACAGTTTTAATAATTTCTCATTAGAAATGCAACGTTCTAAAGAAAGTCCCTGAAGTCTTAGAACAGTCATCTGATTAAATTAACTACATTCATTCCGGCAGGAGCAATAACATTTTGAACTTATGACTCCTTGGACAATAATCGTACCCACTTGCTTTCAACTAGGACTCTCCATTTTCATAAGAAAAGTGATCTAGATGTTTTTGAAGAATGTTTCCTGTTGCTTTAAGCTCAGAAGAAAGCATTAGTAGATATATATATTAAAAAAGGTAAAGGAGTCCCTACAGATTTTAGACTGCTAGTCATTGCCGACTATAGGGGGTGGTGCTCATCTCCATTTCAATCTCCATTGAGCCAGCACTGTCTGAAGACATTTCCGCGGTCATAGGGCCAGCATGACATCACGGAGTGCTGTTACCCCACCACCACCAAAGTGATATCTATTTATCTACTTACATTTACATGCTTTCAAACTGGTAGTTTGGCAGGAGCTGGGGCAATGACGGCAGCTCACCCTCTTGCTTGGCGTTCGAGTCTTGAACCTGGGCTGCCGGCTCTCCATTGCCAACAAGCCCAGCATCTTAACCACTGAGCCATTGTGTCATCCAGTAAAGATGTTGGTGGATGAAAATTAGATCAGTATAAAACAAGGAATTGTTATCATAAGCAGGAAGCATATTGGACGACACAACAACATTGCAACCTCTGACAAATTGCCAAGCCTGGGATGAATTTATTAAAATGAGTGAGGCGTGAATTTAAAACACAGCAGTTACCTAATAGCTGTTAAATGTATGTCTTGTGGGAGTATTGTAGAGTACTGAGTTCTGGTTTAAGGAAAAGGAAAAAGATGTATAAAAAGGACGCTGCAGTAGTGTTCACTCTATATAGTTGAAGGAAGAGTTTGTATCTACATTTGCACAATAGGTGAAACTTGTTAATTTTTTAACTTTGGTGTTTGTTGATATTGTTAATTTATTGTTTTGTTTTTGTGTTTTGTTTTATTTACCTGTGATGCAAACCCAGCCTCTTTAGTTAGTGCAGAGGTCCCCAACCAGGTCCATGGAGAAAGATTTTTCCATGGACCAGAGGGGGTGTGGTTTTGAATACTGCCTGCATCCCGAGGATGGAGCTTTGCTTGTTTGTGCGGCCCGCTTGTTGGCATGCTGTGGACTGGTGCCGGTCCACGGACCAGTGGTTGGGGACCCCTGAGTTAGTGCATTGACATATGACCACAGTTGAGACCAGAATTTTCATTGCTAAGCAAGGCAATTTTTATGACCATTTTTTGCCATGGTTGTTAAGCAAATCATTGTTGTTAAGAGAATAATGCGGTTGTTAAGCAAATCCAATTTCCCCCATTGACTTTGCTGGCCAGAAGCCAGCTGGGAAGGTCATCAATAGCAACCACATGACTTCAGGAAACTGCATCTGTTGTAAATGCATGCCAGTTGCCAGGCACTCAAATCATGTGACACTTCACAACTGTGCTGCAACAGTTGTAAAATGCGAAGACTGGTTGTAGGTCACTTTTCTCAGTGCCACTGAAACTTTGAATGATCATTAAACAAATGGTTGTAAATCAAGGACAGCCCTTTACTGGGAAAATTCAGAAAATAAGTTCAGTCAATATCCTGGTTAAAAGTTTAGTGCAAATGCAGCCTGGAGAGTGAAAAACGATGCAGAGGAATTGGTCACTGGTCCTGTGCAATAATACCTCTTGGGATCTTGTAGGAATATGGGATCTTTTTCAACTATTTGTCTACTGTGAACTGCTCACTGTTTCCATTGTCAGAAGGCTGGTTGGTGATTTTTTATGTTTATTTGTTAGATTTATATCCCCCCCCCTTTTCCAACAGAAGCTCAAAGTGGTACCCTGAGCATGTTTTCCTCCAATAGGCAACACTCCTGTGAGGGGTCTATGATAACTCACCACAGCCAACTTGCCATGACCAATTTGTCATGGTCATCTCACCATAGCCAACTTGCTGCAGCCAACTCGCCTTTTGCCAACTTGCCACAGGTCAAGATTTACACTAATATCGAAGAAATAGTCAAATAGGATCATTAAAGAAAGTATGCCAAAGGAGGGACAAAATAAAAGCTGACTGACAAAAATTAAAATAATCTTTTAAATTATTTTAAATAATTAAATTGAATTGTTGGATTGTTGGATTGAGAAAGAGGTGTCACCTAAAGTCACCATAGCTAAGGGTGGACTTGAACTTGGATTTTCCCAATTTCTAGTCAGCAACTTAACCACTATACCACACTGGTTCCTCATATTTTTGAGCTAGGAAACAAAAACAATCAGATGAGATACATTTTCATTCACAATATACTCCCAGCTATTAAGAAGACTTGTTCAATTTTTAAAATTTGATTTTTACTTAATAGATTGAAAGGGCCATGTTGGATTGACAGGTTGAAATCCTTGCACAAGGCGACCACAATTGCTCTCAGCAGAAAGCTTTCTGTGTTTACTTTAAGGCAGCCACCCGTAATCTGATGCCCTTCATATTGGCTGAAGATCATCTCATTTCACCTTCTGTCTTCCTCCAGGTTTTATTCCAGAATCTGAAGATAGGTTTTTAGATGGAAAGCCCGATCTGAGGAACAAAGGAAAAAATCCTGATCTGAGCATAGTTACCATGCCTGGTAGTTTCCCTAAATTGCTTTGATCTCTACACAGTTTGGAGGGTCATACAAAAAAAACCACCCACTGATGTCACATTCATGACGGTCAGGAAGCTAGCATAGAAGGAAGGAAATTAAGTAAAAGAAATCTGCCTCATCTAACTCTCCACTGGGTAGCCTGAAGGGGTAATGCCTAATATGACACAACACGTTCGGTTTCCCCTTGGTTGGCAATAAAGGAAAATACAAGTGTTATGTTTTGCTCAGTAATATCCGTATCTGAACATTGTCATTTCCTGAGCTCTCCCATTATCTGTTGAAGAGTGACTCTGGCAAATATTCAAAGGCTGGAGGTCCTGATATGGTGAAAAAATTGAAATTTGGCTTTTTCTACAGGCGGCTGAGCCAGAGACCGACTGCTGAAGAATTAGAGCAGAGGAATATTCTCAAACGTAAGTAGCTTCATACTTAAATTTAAATCAAGGAAAAATCATAGAGTATAAGTATGCCCTAGGGCAGTATTTCTCAACCTTGCCGTCTTTAAGATGTGGGACTTCAACTCCCAGAATGCTGGCTGGGGAATTCTGGAAATGGGAGTCCACACATATTAAAAGTTTCCAAGATTGACAAACATTGCTTTAGCCTCTGGGGCGGTTCTTCTCAACCTGTGGTCCGCGGACCCCTAGGAGGCCGAGATGTCTTCACAAGGTATCCACGAAGGCTTGAATAAATGTTATGATTTAAATCATGAGTTAAGTCTTGAGGGTACGTGGCCATGGTGCGTGGCCACAAAAATATTTAAAGGGGGTCCATGGTGAAGAAAAGGTTGGGAACCACTGCTCTACGGGACTCATCCAAGATGGAGAGTCCATTCTTACCTGCCTGAGCCAGGCTTACATTATACTTTTGCCCTTTTGTTATTATCCAAAAAGTGATCGCTTGTAAAGACATATTTATGTTTTGGTGGTTTAGCCTAAAGTTAAAATGAGAGCAAAGTGAGGTCAGCCCAGGATATTCAAATAAAGGACCACCATTTCCTCTTTTTCTTTTACCAAAATATCCTATACAGATTTATTCAGAAATATTCCCCACTGATCTCAGTGTGTTTGCATCTATAATACTGGGTATAGATTACTGGGTATAGATAGCCTATTCTATGCCTGTTGAAAAAAAGATCCAGTAAAATGCACATGAGCTAATCTTAGATAAAAATGTACAGCCTTGGCCAAATATCTAAGAGCAGTATGCAAGTCATTCTTACAGAAATATATAAAACTACATTTCCATGCCACATTTTTTTTGACAGAAAAGCCTCACACACACCCCACCATACTAGAGTTTTTGTTGTATAACCTGAATTACTGATATCTCATCCTCAGCAAAAATCATACTGACACAAATATATTTGACTTGAAAATAGTTTAAGACACTTAGCCATAAATAATTAAATGGAGAAAATAGTTTAATTAAACCCCTCTTGCTGTAGGACATGAATCTTAAGCAAAGCAACGTGAACATAAATTCCAGGGAAATGACTAGTATTTTCATGCAATTAATAACTGAATGCTAGTAAGAATGTGTCTCAGCATGCATGCTTTTGAGAAGCAAGCCAGGTGTATATCTGCGTTTACTCCACTGTGATCAGGCTTGTAAATGCTCTTTTGATAATCACAAGCTGGAATCAGGAGGCCCTTCAGATAAACACACGTGCCTTTATCACCTCAAGGCTTCACTACTGCAAAGTGTTCTCTGTGGGGCCGGCCTTGAAAACCACTCAGAAGCTTCAACTGGTCCATAACATAGAGACATGAGCAGTGATGGGCAATGCCTCAGTGATTCTGTGTGACACCTCTGCTCTGTAAGCTGTACCACTTCTGGGTGCAATTCAAAGTACTCATCATTACCTCTAAAACCCTACATGATGTAGGGTCAGTTGCTTGACTGCCTGTCTCTCTCCCATGGTTTCTGCCTGGCCAGGATGGGCCGGCAGAGTTGGAGTGCTCCAGGTCCCTTCAATTAAACAATGTCATCTATCAGGATCCAGAAAGCGTGACTTCTCTGTCACAGAGCCTGCTTGTGGAATGAGATCTCCTCAAAAGCCTGGAAGATCTGACTGTTCTCCCAGATCTTGATTGCTGGGGTCCCTGGCTGGATGTGTCCATTATTTTTGCTTTCTCAATGTTCATTGTGCCTAGAACCATCTTGTTTTGGGGGTTTTGTACTGTTTTTTTATGTCACTCTTTGCAGAGTCAGTTGGAATTAGGCAGTGTACAAACTGAATTAAATAAATAAAAATAGTCATCTTGAGGCAAATTTCAAACCTAAAAAAAATTGTTTGTAATAGAGATTACAAACAGTGAGATCAAAGATGCATCTTTACATTGACAGCTAGTCACAATTCTTAATATCATTATTATTATTATTATTTCAGTTTATATAACCACCTTTCTCAGATACATGACTCTAGTTCGCAGTTGTCTGTGGAGATTCTCAGTCATTCAGGTCATGGTTGTCCCACAGGTGTTTTTCCAAAAGGCAACTGGACTTTTTTTCCCCTTGAAAAGACTTCGCTTTCCATCTAAGAAACTTCTTCAGTTCAAAACTGAAAAAGCTTCTTGGGTGAGAAGCAAAATATTTTCAAGGGGGAAAAAAACCTAAGAAAGTCCAATTGCATTTTGGAAAAAGCACCTTTGGGACTAGTTGATGATTCTTTGCAGCTCCTTTCTGAAGCTTTTTGTGGCTCTTTCCATAACAAACCAAGCCTGCTGCAATCTTTCAATGATTATTTGGCTACAACAATGTATAATCACTTAGCCACCTAAGTGATACGTGTAACTGCATGTAATAAAATGTTGTCACAATGGGTCGAAGAAATATTGCAAATGAAATAGTATATTGAAACACATTTCTTGGAAAGTTGAAATTCCTGAGATATGCATGGGAGCTGCGTTATCTTTTTGTATAGGACCTGCAATAACTTTCTAGAGATTCTAAAATTTCCAGAAGCATTCTAGAAACTCTTCCCTATTGTCATGATTATTCTATATACTTTTATCTGTAGCTGATAAATCTTGAAGTGCAAAGATTGTTGATATCTTGGCATGATTGCTGTCATAAAGTCATATTAATAAATCAAATGCATGCTAACATATATCAATTTATTTATTTTAATCATTTATATAGCCGTCCCATCTTATAACCAACTCTGGGTGGCTCCTAATTAGAGAATCAAGAACTTGGGTTTAAGACGTACAGAAATTTATATCCAAATGAGCAAGGAGCACTGATTACCCCTTGCCATTTTTTTAAAAAAAATGCATGCAAGTTTAGAATTTTGTCAATCTTTTCTAGCACGGAATGAGCAAGAGGAACAGGAAGAAAAACGAGAGATCAAGAGAAGATTAACCCGCAAGGTAAGAAATTCCTTTGTTTTGTCCTTCGTGGCAACCTTGAAGCTTTGAAGCGGATGTGAAGTTCTTTACCATATTCAGCTTTGATGTGTTTGTTTCCTGAAAAACATATTTTCCAAACACTTTATTCCTTAGAAGGCATCCTTGAAGCATTTTCTCTTGATACAGCTTTAAAGTCCTAAATGTAGATAGAGAAACCAGCAGAAGATGCAGACATGTATGCACAAAGCCATGAGGAATTCAATAAACTGCTCGGAGCTGCAAAAAATTGAAGAAAGGTTTTCAAACACTCGAGATGTTGCCAATTACATACTGGGCTTGGTAGATCAATTTCCACAAATACAATTCTCTTTTGGTTTTGGTTTTAATAAGTTCATGCAATGGTTGTGTCCCCTAAAATTGTTTTAAAATAGGCATACAGTACATGTGCTTAAATCCCAGGATAACACATGATCGTTGCTATTTCTTAGATAGTAAAAACCATGAATAAGGGAAAGCTAGCGAATGTTTTTTTGAAAATAAAAGCACTCAATATTAGCCTAATTTTGTTTTTATTGAATTCTTCTGTATATTGCTGATCATGTAGTAAATTGAAGAATAAGCGTGTAAGGAAAGGAAGTCTGATTATTTGAGACATTTGAATTGAATGGAAATAAATCATTTGAGAAGATTATTCATTTTTGGAACACACACACAAACATACACACATATACACATACATACCTGTATCGTTAGTGAAAAAAGAACAGAACAGAAAACCTTTTGATATATGAAAAAGATACAAATTACAAGTTTAACTCACAATCATGCATATGTGTGCAGTTTTAATTGGAATTATAAATAAGGTTTTGGAGCACTTTGCAGCTCATTCTAAAAAGGCACTCCATATTAGATAGGGGTAAGAATGTGAGAAAGTTCCTGTCTTCAACTCTTTAAAGCAGATGCATCTTTTCCCTGGATTATACTAACCAGATCTCAGCTCTGGTTGAAGATATTCTGAGATATGGTATTCTGAGTGATCGTCTTCAAAAGGCATCATGGAGCTAACTCTGTCTTTTAAACATACAGTAGAATCATTGGTTGGACAGTGACTAATCCAAGATACAATCTAAATCTCCAGTAAAATTCCACCCAAAATGGGTGGAAATTAATAATGAATGATTGCTCAATAAATATGTCTGGCACCCAAACTCAAAAGAGATGAAAAGATAATCCAGATATACCCTTTGTTCAGAAACAGTCTGTCTTCTCTTCATTGTTTTGTATGATTCATACCAAGTGTATTATGAATACATTATAGAAAAGTGTTTATTGTATAAACAATTTTATAACTGAGGTTTAGGTAGAGTCAACTGACTGTTCTCTGTTGCACTTCTCAAGGGTCCAGACAGGGAAAAATCTATCCCAACACTGGGTGACTTTCATGAATTGAATGAATATGCACGGTGTGTCAAAATATCAAGAACAAAATATTCAGTTTGACTCTTCCATTTAGGAGAAGGCAAAGGAAAATTAAAAATGAAGCCATAATGTTTGATTTTATTTTTTTAACCAATACTGGCTTGATTGATTGTAATATTAAATTAGCCATTCACCAATCTGGACAGAGATGCTAATAGATAAGTTGGCTATTCCAAATCTTTTACCAAACAAAACGATATACTTGTTAGATAGTTTTCTTTTTTTTAAAAAAATGAGAAAGTATATATGATAATCATTTTTATTTAAACTCTAGTGCGTGAAAGCCATCAGGTTTAACCTTTGCATTTACCTCTGTAACCATCCTGTACCACGACAACAGCTCTCTTCCCTCCCATTTAGAAAACCAAGCAAAAGAAAGAAATCAATTGAAGGCCAGCAAATTTTCTTTGCTTCCCTCATATTGGTTCAAGTCAGCAGGGAATGTTAGAAATAAAGGGATCTTGAGAGTGGTGTGATTAGCCAGAGGATAGAAAGATTAGGTGACAATACAGACATAGATGTTACATTTGGTTGACTTGTATTTCTTATGAAAAGGGAATAGAATTTGGAGTTTGTCAGAATAAGGATCCCAGATATATTCCTTTGTCAGAATAAGGATCTGCTCAGACCCAGGCCCAGATCTGAGCCCTTGCCATCATGTCTTAACATAAATAGAATGGAGGGTGGTTGTTTTGTTTTGTTTTGTTTTCTGTATTTTAAATTATCTGATGACTGATTCCTGCACTGTGCAGATACAACCCAGCGGAAAGTTAGAGCACTACAGATATGGCCATAGCACACTGACTGCCCTTAATGTACCTTTCTATGCATAATATTTTCCCTATGAATGTTATTTTATATTTGGTCTACTCTGAAGTATAAGTAAATAGGACCTTATTGAATATTGGCTTGTCAAGTAATAGGAACGTTTGAAGTAAATATCTGCTTATATTTACTTGAAAAGCAGCCTTCTTTGGTGTTCACATATAACAGCCAGCCAATACTTCAGACAGTACAATTTTGTACTAGGATGCGCCAGTTACAGGCTGAGCGTTGGTAAAGCCAGGTCTATCAACCTATCTGCATGGCTCTTGATTTGATAGAAAGGCAAGGGTGACACAAGATGCTGCAGAGCAAATTTTCATGGATTGCATGGAGTGAACATGCAAGATGTGTCATTATTTTATGTATGTTGAAAGTGGGAAAAGAATGGCATTTTAACATGAACAAAGAGAGCACAAATCAAATTTAGCTCTGCATATTTGTGCTGATAGTCCTATCCTTGATGAGCTTTCAGGGGATTGTTGTTTTATTTATTCAGCTTAGGAACAGATGGAAAATAAATAATCATTTGGTGGCTACCATACCAACAACAATAAAAATGCAGACTTTGATGCATACACTTCAAAGTTAGTCAACACTATGAGAAGGAAATCCCTTTATAACAAGTAAGACTACCACCCAGAGCAAATTTTCATGTGCCTTTTACTTTTATCCTTTGTAGAAGTACAAAGATTTTTTTTAGTGTTTTCCAAAAAAGGTCAGGTTTTCTTTGGGGATGTAAAACTCAACGTTTTCTTGGGGTCAACAAGTGTGTGTATGTGTGCATGCATGTGTATGTGTGTGTGTGTGTATGTTTGTGTGTGTGTGTGAGAGAGAGAGAGAGAGAGAGAGA